GCTGAGGAACTCCCTTCTTGTCAGTACAGAGGCAGAAAAGGATCTTGGAGTCATCATTGATGCCAAGATGAACATGGGCCGGCAGTGTGGGGATGCAGTCAGGAAGGCCACCTACACCTTGTCATGCATCCACAGATGCATCTCAAGCAGGTCCAAGGAGGTGATCCTCCCCCTCTATGCGGCACTGGTCAGGCCGCAGCTGGAGTACTGCGTCCAGTTCTGGGCGCCGCACTTCAAGAGGAATGTGGACAACATGGAGAGGGACCAGAGGAGGGCCACTCGCATGATCAGGGGTAGCGCAGGCCCTACGAGAAGAGGCTGAGGGAACTGAACCTGTTCAGCCTCCACAAGAGAAGGCTGAGGGGGATCTAGTGGCCTGTTACAAACTAGTCAGAGGGGACCAGCAGGCATTGGGGGAGTCCCTGTTCCCCTGAGCACTACCAGGAGTGACCAGGAATAACGGTCACAAGCTGGCAGAGGGTAAATTCAGATTAGACATCAGTAGGTGCTACCTCATTGTCAGGGTGGCTAGGATCTGGAACCAACTTGCAAGAGAAGTGGTGCTGGCTCCTACCCTGGGGGTCTTTAAGACAAGGCTAGACAATCACCTTGCTGGGGTCGTTTGACCGCAGTACTCTTTCCTGCCATGGCAGGGGGTCGGACTTGATGATCTACTCAGGTCCCTTTCGACCCTACTAACTATGAAACTAGTTCCAACTTGGAAGAAAAAAAAATCCTCTTGACCACTTACAATTTTTTTTTTTAATTTCATTGTTCATATATCTTATTTCATTAACACAAACATCTTTCAGCAGAGTTTCATAATGCATGGCTTTACATTTGAAAGTAACTGTGGGGTTGACTTTTCATTATCAGAATAACAACACAACTGTAATACAAGTTTTTCCTACTCTGTATTAGAAATGGCAAATGCATTTTTTACGTTTTTTATCAACTTCTAGTCATTAGGTCATCAAAACTTGGTGCAATTTTGTACTGCACATATAATTTTTTTGAAATATTAATTTGTGAACATGTTCAAGACAAATAAGCAGATAATCAACACGTTTCCCAACTAAATGTTGGGAAACTACTGACCTAATGTATAAATAAATGTAGACAATGACTTCCAGTTCAGAAATGTATTGTCTCAGCTTGGACCAGCTTTAAAGTAGGTGATTTACAATTCTTTAGCCATTTTCTGGATCTTCATTAGTCATTACTGTTACCACTACTCAGCTCACTTGTCTTTGTGCCAATACTAACCTTTTTCAAATTAGTTTCATATTGAGCCCATTTAATAATACCTTTTTGGCAAGTATCCTGTTTTGGGCTTCTCATATGATAGCCTATACTAATTAACTTTCATTTTCTGCCAATCACGAGTGCATCTTTTATTTGCTAAATTCTTGTTCTGCAGCATGATTTCCATCTCTTAAAGGCACAGCCTACAAACTTCAGCTTCAGTTCTGCTGGGTAACTTCCAAACTTTTTGCTGGACATGGCCATGTATAGCTGACCTTTTTTCCCTTCTCTTCCCATTTCCTGCCTTCTTAGGTTAATGAATCATCAATTATCCTGCTCTTCAGGTAGCTCAGTACTCCCTTTACTCAACAGTTAAAACAAAAAGCTATTTTTGACAAACTTTTCCTTTGTATTATCCTCACACAAGTACAATTTGCTTTGCTGCTGAATTAACCTTTTGGCAGATAATAGACAAGTTATGGACATGAATATGTGCACATCTTCTTGAAGCTCAGTTCTAACCTTATCATGGCTCACTCTCTCTTTCTCTCTTTTAATTCCAACTTTGTATTTGATATATAGGAAGTAATATCCCCACATAGAACGAGGCAAGACAAAGATGTTTTATTTATAGAGCTTTCATGGGTCTTAATTACCACAGCTTTTCCTGTATTTGGGCCAGTTGGTACAATCTGTAATGTCTTTCATATTTTGTTGCTGTTTTCTTGCATTAAACATGTCAACATTTTACATCTGAGCAATAAAAGTTAGAGGGATAGGTCTGATGAATAGCAATGAAGGTGAAACAACAATACATAATGCTAATGCCTTGGGAAATCAATTAATATTTTTATGAGTAATTGTAAAATAAATGAAGGATTAGCCATGAGCGAGTTCATCAGAGGATTCATTGTTTAGTTACCTACTTCCTGGAGTTCAGACATAAAAACCTGTTTTGCTCTGGGCAGTAGCTAATTTCTTGTCCAACAGAGATTCCTTGTGAATAAAAGCCCACCAAAGTTTATCAGTGTTCCCTGACTAGTCCGGTGTCACCATCCATTGGAATCTCACTCCCAGATGGAAGGACAAAAAAACCCCAGGGGGCATAAAAGCTCCACATTCAAAACATTGAATTCACACTACAATACAAATACACAGAGTTTGTAGTATCAGACTTTAACAGTCATATTTTTGTTATTGGGTTTTTTTTGCCTAGGGCCTTCTGTGACAGTCAGAGCCCAATTTTGATCAGCACTGTACAGGCACAACCCTTGCTTTCCTTATTCAAATTCTTTATTCTTTAATTATGGAGCTGACTTAGGCTAATGTTTTGCCTTTCTTTTCACCATAGTAAAGAAAGCTTCTTATCTATAACCCTAATTCTGAAAACAGGGAGGATATGTTAGGCCAAACCCATACTGGTCCATAAGATCTAGCATGGAATGTGTTACTGTTTCTTGTCATGGGTATCCCACTAAAACTATCTTCTCTGAGAAAAAGAATCAGAGCTTTCTGCCTATTCCTTTGTGTGTGTGGGTGTTGGGGTAGTATTCAACTACTGCCAAAATTTGGCTTCCAGACTGGCTTATGTTTCCAGTTTCTTCCTCAATGACATTTACCTTTTACACATTCTAGCTGTCTATTAAACCAAGACCACTGTTGGGTAAAACTCAAGATCAAGTATTTGGTCACCACCACTCAAAGCAAAGGGTGTATCCCCATGAGTGGGAACATGCATTTCCCTGGGGACAAACAGTGGTGGCACAAAATGTGCCACTGCTACTTATCTCCAAGGAGCACCTGTGCCACTTATTCCCAGGGAATGCAGTGCATGCGTGCTTTGCTGCACAGCATGTTGCCACAGATGGTTGCCCCAACACCTGGATTGGTGCCAGCAGTCTTACCTGGGTCCCTGGGAGCCTCCTGGGGCTGCAAGTGCAGCAATCCAGCAGCAGGGAGTGTGGCTCCAGCCAGCCAGGCTCTGGGTTCAGGTGGTGCACATTGCCACCATGTGCACCACCCTGCTTTATTTAGGCATAACGTTTTTGATTCTGGGATTTCCCAATATCAAAAAATCCCCCATGCTACAAATTTGCAGCACAGGGAATGCCTGCATGTGTGGCGCATGTAATGTGTGGCACTGCAGACCTGTCTGATAGCATGGAAGTGAAGCATGCATGTGCTCATCTGCATGTGTACGCTCATCTGGACGTGCCCAAAGAGTCCATACAAAGGGATACAAAACAGCTTAGTAAACTAGGCAATACATGAGACCTTTTATGCTCGATAAATAGAATGTATCTAATAACTGCATATTCAAAATGATGATGAATGAAGCTGCAGAATGCAGTCTAATTCTCCTTACATCTAGGCATAGAGTAGAGCCAAAGTTATTTGTGATTTTACCTTTTTTTAACCAAACACAATAGCTAGTCTAGAGGCATTTCTTTTTATTCACTCATTCTTGTTTCTCATTACTTGCCTACCTCCTCCCCTTTATTTTATAACCCTGTGCCAGCTCAGAGAGTCTGGGGAACACTGTTTTACATGCCCCACTGCATGGACAGATAGGAAGCTTTACCAAGGTCGACAGATGCTAACCTATACGTGGAAGACAAGTTACTGTAACGTCCTAGTTCAGCAAACAATTATTCTTCCATGCTATCAGTTTGGGCAACATCAAAATGGCAATAAAAAGTGCATTTTCCACTAGAAAAAGACAACAGTAACAGTACATATATATCTCCTTCCATTATCTGCACAAAATTTAGTAATATATGGCACCAAAAGACCCTTGATACTTTCACTGGTTAGTCACTGTAACCCATCACTTAGGAAGGCCTTTTGTGCATAGAAATATTTTCCATTCAGCTCTTCTACTTTTACGATATAGTGCTGACTGTATAACAATAAAATAAAAAAAAAAAAACCCAAAAAAACCTTTCAGCACAAATATTTTCAATTGCTGCTTGTTTTGTTTTCTAAAAATTCACCATTATTTCTCCAAATCCCTATTAAAAGCAGTTTTTATGAGACAATAAACACACTAGGGCTCCTCAATTAATCATCATTGTGTACCTTAAAATGCTCACACAAACAATGTCACAGAGGCATTACTGATTGATCATTTGCTCGCTCTCTCCCCCTCTCATTCTATTTAAGAGGATGATACTAATACAGCAACGAATGGTTTGCTCTAGATCTTGTTCAGTTTTGCTGAGTGCTGAGAGAAAGAAAAAAAGTCGAAGCTCCTGGCTTGTCATTTGCACAGTTCAACTTCTCACTGTATCTACTTAGATCAGCAGCTTCTCAAACCAATTAAAGCAAGGAATTCTGGGACAGACAGACTCTACATGACAACATAGTCATCTCTAGACTATGGCACTGTATTAAAATTGTTTATTGAAAGCTACTGAACATCACTCTGGTATGAAGGGCAATTCAGAGTCACCAATGTGAAAAGAAAATCAGACCATTCCCCCCCACCCTTTTTTTTGTGCTAAATCCTGCAATCTCAGTGGATTCATGCATAGCTTTTAGGAAAGTGCACATGCTTACCCCACAACCCAGTCCACTGCATGGTTCACATCGGATTTTTCTCTCTCCTGGTTCAGGAAGCAAGCCAGCCCCACATCCTGGAACTGGGCACAGCACTCCGCCCATCTGCAGCACACACTCTTCTGCCCCATAGCGCTGGTAGCGGTTATACTGCACAACAAAACACGGGTATTAGAGTTCTTAGAGCAGGTTAAAAAAAATCCTAAACTTTTATGTTCCAATTTATCCATTCTGATATTTCCTTTTACCCACTAACTTCAGGTTATTTATCAGATGTTTGGGACTCCAAAATGTTGCTGCACTGTTTCAGTAAAGCAGTTAAATGCTACCATGCTTCATTCCACATTAGATGAACAGTCTGAAATGCTGTTATCCTTGTCATTACTGGGAAGGGGCATGTGATATTACAAGCTCAGCAAATGTGTGATTATTGTGTTAAAGCATTCTTAATCTGTGCACATATTACCACCACATAATTTTAGTAGATGCACCGTACAAAATGGGGGAAAACAATCTAAATCAAAGGGAGGAAAAATTATGGAATCAGAGGTAAAAATATTTACAGCAGCTGCGCAGGTTAATGGTATTTAAAAAAATACTTTCCAGACAAACTGAATCACAAAATGTTCCTCTGATTACTCATTTATATTAAAATCCCGTATAGGTTTTCCTGTGGCTCTCACAGTGAACATGTCCACATGTTCATTAATACGCCTTAGATACTGCACATTTAGTTTAGTACTTCCTTAATAAAGTACTAACTAAATGCACAGTATCTAAAGTTACTGTGCAGCAGAGCTAGTGAATGGTTATTTAGTGATACTTACTGTGTATTAGCCTAATGACACTGTTAGCACAGTTTTTGCCACGATACGCTACTGCACAGAGTTATTAGGCTAATGTACAGCAAGCATCTCGTGTAGATGCGTCCACTGTGATCTAACTGCTTCACAGATGTGAAGTTAGTAGCTTCTCACCAAACATAAGAACTAGGAAAGCATGTCTATTTTACAAATAGAGACATAAACAAATTACATGACTTCTCCAAGTTTACATAGGAAGTCTGTCAAAAGCAAAACCAGAACCCAGACCCCTTGATTGTTGTATTATGAATAACTGAATTTTTTGCTTTATGGCAGCTCTGAAATAAGTTTCAGGTCAAACAAACTAAAATATTTCCAAATATGGAGTAAATCAAGAAACTCATTTATGCAGGGCCATATATAATATTCTAAGTGGAATATTACCAATATCTTGTACAGTAGTACTAATCCTTCCCTGTCTCTAGAAAATACACAACTGCATACACTCTATAATGAAATTATTCCTTCTTTTATAGTTTCATCACATAGCTATCCTATTATTGATGAACACACCCAGGTCCTCTTTTTCCTTAGTTGCCTTAGTTGTCAGTCTGTGAATCCACATCATATAGAAAAGGTTCTTGGTATTGTTCTCTAAGTGCATGATTTTTCACTGTGCGCTATTCAATTTCATACTATTTCTATTGCTCTATACCACAAGGTTGTTTAATTCTTCCTCTGTAATAATCTGGTCTTCTGCATTAACAAAACTTCACAGTTTTATGTTGTCCACAAATTTTACAAGCACACATGTAGCTCTTGCACCTAGGTCACTAATAAAAATGTTAAACAGGATAGCTCCCAAGACCAATCCCTGAGAAACACTAGTAGAAAACTCTCTCCAGTCTAATAACTCCTTGTTCAACAGAACCTTTTGTAGTCTCATTAGTCACCTCTTTCTCCACCTTACAATTATGTTATTCATCCCCATTTTCTCCATTTCGGATAATAATTTCCCATGAGGCATAGTATCAAATGCTTTGCTTAAATCTAGATAGATTAGATCCATTGCATTGCCCTTATCTATGAAGTCAGTTACCTTATCATAGAAGGATATTATATTGGTCTGACATGATCGTCCTTAGATAAAACCATATTGTGTTCTTCTGCCCCATTTTTGTTTACCTCTATATCCTTGATTATTCTTTCCTTCAATATCTATTCAAACCAACTGGGCAATATTGAAGTTAAGCTAGCTGGCTTGCAGTTACCTGGTCAGTTTTTCTCCCCTTTTGTAAGAGGCAAAATGTTTGCTATTTCCCAATGATATGCTACAATCCCAGGATTAACAGATTCTTTGAAAGCCCATGTTCTATTCCCTGTGTCAGTTCCTTCAATATTCTGGAACAGAGATTATCTAAACTGCGGGCAAAATACAGCCTGGGGGGCTGGATCTGGCCTACCAGGGAATTTCATCTGGACTGTGGGCACCCACTAATTAATTGTACCCTGACAACACGTGTGCCTCTCTTTCACCCTCATGCATGGAAGGGCCTGGCCCAGCCAGCATGGAGCTTCCAGGTGGGGCTGCTGCTGCCACTGCTGCAGCTGCTGGGAGACAGCTCAACTTCCCCAGCATTCAGCAGCTCCTCCTCATCTTCCTGCTGCAGCGCTAACTCCGGGCAAGAGGTAGGGAAGTGGCAGGGGTGGGGGCAGAGGGCCTTGCAGCGGGGGGCAGCTGTAGCTGGGCAGGGGTAGGGAGCATGGGGCTGGGGCTGGTGGGAGCACAGAGCCCATGCCCAGAGGGGTAAGGGAAGCATGCAACACAGGTGGGCAGGGTATGGGGACCCCCCACAAACTCCCCCCCTGGCAAACAGCTCTCACTGCTGGCAGCAGCAGCAGAAGCAGGTGGCGGGCCCTGGGGATGCTCTTGGCCCACACAGGTGCTGTTGTCCGGTGGCACATGGGTCTGGCCAGAACTGCACATGGTGGCAAGGAACACAGCCAAGCTGGCCCACCTCTACTGCATGCTCCCTCCCCTCCCCCTCCCCACAGTGCATGTGCAGCTCCTGACACACACACACCACTGCAGGGAAGCCCAGCATGATGGAGTCAGCTGCGTTCCCCACTCCCTGCTGCCACATGCAGTTGCTAGGACTCCACCAGAAGTGGAGGGGAGCTCCACCCTCTGCTTCTGTAGCAACAGGGAGCAGGGAAGGCAACTGGCTCCGTCATGCAAGGCTCCCCCCAAGTGGTGCAGAAGTACCGGGAGCTGCACATGAACCATGGGAGCACCATGTGATAGAGGTGGCCTGGCCTGGCTGTGCTCCTTGCTGTCACGTGCAGCTCTGACTGGAGCCACATGCTGCTGGGTGGCATAGGCCATGAGTGCCCCAAGGGTCTGCCACCTCCTGCTGTTGCCGCCAGTAGTGAAGGCTGTGCACTATGTGGGAGAATGTGTGTGGAGGGTCCCCACACCCCCCACACACCCCACAAACCCCACATATCCACACCCTGTCCCCACAACCCTATCACATATACACGCACTCCTGCAGCGTACCCTATGCCCCCCACACAACAGCCACACTCCCTCAAAAACCCTCCACACACCCCATGGCCCACCAGACACACCCACGTACCCGCAACCACACCCTACATGCTCCCCCCCCACACAATATACAAGGGTAAGACTTTATTTTTTAACTATTATGCAATCACCTCTATGTACAGTACACAAACACAAATCATGATAAAAAATATTTTTTGAAATAAAATTAAAATATATTATAGTAGGTGTTTGACTTTTAGTGGATAATTTGGGGGTTTTCTGGTTCGAAGATGGCTACCCCCATCTCCCAAAAGGCATACTTCTGCAGGCAAGGGGAGGGACTTCTGGTGACAAACATCAGGGGTTAGGGGCAGGACTTCTGGTGCCAAGATGGCAACCAGGGTGTGGAACACCTATCAAGGGGTGGGGCTACCCTTATGGCCTTCAACAGCTCACCAAAACTCATTAAGCTGAACTCCAGCTGAAATAATTGCCAACCCCAATCTAGGCCCTCAGGTAATGTTATAGTAGGCAATCTGAGTTTTACTTTCACCTCAAATATGGGAATTTTTATTACCATATCTTCCTTCTTATTCGGTATTCCAAAATTATCTTAGGATATATGTTTGCATCCCTATTGAAGATTGAGGCAAAGTATTCATTTAATACTTAACCCATATCTAAATTATTTACAATCTCTGTCCCATCTGTGTAACATATAATAGTCCCACTTCTTCTCTCCTAGTTCTCTTTTGGCTCATATGACCAAAGAACCTTTGATCATTCATTATATTTTTATTTGCAAAGTCCAACATAACTGAACAGAGACATAATCTCCCTTAAATTCTGCACTCTCTGAACTCTGAAAGATCTCTCTCCTTGGAGCATATTTCTGGTAGATTCTAAGATTATTCTTAATGGTGTATTTGAGATGACCATTTATCAAAGTAGGTCTGTAGCCCTTCTCTACCAATTTGTTCCTCTTCCTTGGGAAGCAAGTTACAGATAGTGATTTCGCTTTTGACTTAGAGAGTGAGTGTGACTTCACAACCTGGTGCTTGGGGTAGTTGACTAGTCTTTTCTCCAAAAGGACATTTGTCCTGATCAAAAATACAGAAAAAAAAGGCATCGAAATGTTGAGCATGGAAAAAATTCTACTGGTTATAGTGCTAAGTGGCATGTGTTAATTATGAGTTCTGAACGCACTTTGAACAACTTCTCATTTCCCAAGCATAGACAAACCTTAAGGGAGCCTATCAGAAGGAGGCATTAGACATTTAGCTTAGTAGACTGGATCCAAAGTGCCTAATATATTTACGTGACCATCCTGACATATTCAGATTGGGCAGAATTGCAGAATTCATTTTTTTAGACTTAAGATTCTAGCTCTTTCAGCTGTGGATAAAAATAAAAAGTGAGAGTAAAGGACTCTAGTGTTGATTTCTTGAACATGAGGAGACCCTGAAAAATAGCTCAGACAGATGTGAACTCTTAATATCCTGGAAATTCATATTGGTGTGTCCATTACAATGTTAATACTTCAATATCAATATTACCTATTGCGTTGCCTATTATTTTAGTGGGTGAATTGGGGAAGGGAAGTTCAGAGGGGCAGAAACTGGGAATATGCAACTACGAGGAAGAGCAGGAAAGACACAAAAAGACAGGGAAGAGAAAGTAAATGGAGAAAGGAAGGTAGGGAAGGAAGATAAATAAAATAGAAATAACAGTAGCCCAAACAGCAGGCATCTTTTCCAAATGAGTGATACTACACGTGGCAATAAACTATATAATAATAT